AGTTATATTTTGGTATGTAGTTTGACTATATACCCTTTTAAATAATTTAATGTACTATATAATAACTAATTTACTCCTTGTTATGACTGTATGTATGAAAATATTATGATTTGCAAGACAGAAGAAGGGTAAGTTTTTTTGTTTGTTTAACCCCTCCCCCTGCCATACTTTTATTTTCACTCAGTTATGTGCCAGTATGCTTCCACATAAATATCTCATGCTACCAAATATTTTTTTCTATAGTTTTGCAATTCCGACGGATGTGAATGGTGCCATGATAACTGCCGAATGAAACCAAGTGGTTGTTACAGCCAAAATATAATATGGATATATTACTGTACATCTCATGAAAATGGATAGGAGCTTCTGGATTAACAGAAATGTATTTCTACTAGACAAGAATGCTGATTTACAAGATTGGATATATTACAATACATCTAATGCAATGGGATATTGAATCTGCCATGTATTATTAAATTACTGTACTTGTTTCCAATCTACCATATGGATGTCAGGAACATTGTAATGTCTACTATGTGAAGATATTACATACCTTTATACAGTATGTACAGTAACCTGACAAGTTATTGGACAATATGATGGCCAACAATGGACACTACCTGTACATGCTAAATAAATACGAAACATCTGCATATTGGACACAAAACCCATCAATCTCACTGTCTTGTTTACCAATTGGAAAGTACAGTAGACTATTATTACTTGGAAAGAATGTGAAAACTTGCAACAAACTAATCATATCACGTCAAAAGAATTTTTTTTTTCTTCGTAATTGTGTTCTTTTAGACATTTTGACAAGTGAAGACGGTTTAAAACATTGGTACCAACAATAACATGTGTAAATATGAAAATCCGAAGTACAGTTTACAGTATATAATAATTACTGCACTATTAAACAAAATAAATTCATACATACAGTGTATATATAAGGCAATTTAAATAAATTAAGTTTTTTGGTATAATCAATCCCTAAGACTTTGCGTCATAAGGCAGCACTTCCCTTGCGATAGTAACTTCTAGTAATCAGTGCCGTTAAAGTGCTATGCATTGATCGGAATCCAGATTGACAGGGACTTAACAGCTTATTCGTATTAAGATATTCACATAATTGATCAAAAATGATTTTTTCAGAAATTTTTGCAATCACTGAAATAACGGATATAGGCCGATAGTTACTAGTCCTGTATTTATAGATGTACCAAATATTTAGGAAATATTTAAGGAAGGCGCAATCACGTCTGCCGCTAATTTCAATAACTTATTGGGTATTTTATCTAGACCAACAGATTTCTTCTCATCAATTGTACTCAAAAATCTGTGAACGGTATCAACAGTCGGAGTTTGCAATGAAAACGTTTTATCGGATGGTTTTAAGATAGAAATTCGGATCATGATCAGGATATGGTATTTCGGCGGCAAGGTTGTCACCAACACTAGAAAAGTAGCTGTTAAATGCTTCGGCTATTTCAACAGGCGAGGTTATGTCTTGTTCCCCCAAATTTATTTCACTTATTCTTTTCGTTTTTCCGGTATTTCTAGAGCTTAATTCGTTAATTAGTTGCCATGTCTTTTTCATATTATGTTTATTGAGCTCTAGATTTTTTGTGAAATAATCTCGCTTAAAGGAGATTGGCAATATATTTTGACATCTCATTTTTCTTTAAGATTTTACTCAAACTAGTCATGAAACAATAAATGACACCTTTGAAAGCCTTTTATTTACGTAATAATGCATGAGTCAATTCCTGGAGTAACCATCCCCCCCCGGGACACCCCCGGGCATTTGCCAGATAGACAGTTCACGGGGGTCGGGAATTTGCCTTTCATATATGTGCACGGGGGCCGGGTATTGGAGGACCCCGGGGATTTGACAAATGGTTGCCCAGAATCTCACCCACAAATTTTAAGGCAGCAAAACATAGTTCAGGCACGCATGTGGGCGCGCTGATCGTGTTTTGCGCCCTCGTGTGCTCGTGGTCAAGGTGGCGTGAAATTTATTGTAAGAATAAGCGAAAATTATACTCTCTGTTATGCAAATTTAAATACAACTATTAAATGTTTATGTTTTATAATATTCCATAGCAGTTTAATACTATAATGTTATTAAATGACTATGATTATATGCCTTTAAAAGTTTAATTAACGTTTACAGTCGATTTCACGAAACTTTGACCACAAAATTTCCGAACTTCGTTGCGAAGTTCACAAGATTGTTGCGAAGTTCAAAAGTTCATAATGAGATTCACAAACCAGTTCGTAAACTACGCATATGATTGGCTTCTTTTACTTCACGGATCAATCAGGGACTTTGTTTACAAATTGGCTTGTGAATTCCAATATGAGCTTCCGAACTTCACAACGAACTTGCGAACTTCGCAACGAAATTCGGAACATTTGTGGTCAAAGTTTTGTGAAATCGACTGTAAAATCGTCCCCGGGGTGGGGCATTTTCCACTCTCAGCTTGCCCAGGGGCCGTACATTAGTCTTCAAGTTGTGTCCCGGCACCCGGGCATTTACACTGTCATAACCAATCTAATCAAATTCCCGGGTGTGTTCCCGGGGGGGGGATGGTTACTCCTGGAATTGACTCATGCATTAGGGACTGTTGTTGAATCAATTTTATTGATATGACACCAATATGGTTCTCACTACCTATATAAAAACTTAACAATTATAGTAGTTATCTATTAAAACTATGTTGTCACGTTGTGTAGTTTAAGTTAAAACCTTTTGTCTTTGGCTCGTTTATTTTCAGATTCAGTATATTATGATCGTGCATGGGAATTCGTTAACGGTCATTATTTATGGAAGAGTAAAAATAATAAGGGGGCATATGTATAAATAAATTAATAGAAGGGGTTATTAAAATTTTTTAGAGAAGAGGTGCAATTAAATTTGAAGGAATTCGTTTAATAAGCTTGATATCCATTTGGTTGTGCGACTAAATCATGGTCACTGATGTAAAATAGTCTGGATTTATCTTGTCTTTTGTGTGCTGTATGCAAATCAGTATTTTACTGATTGCAGAGATAAATTGACAATGTGTTATTACATCAGCTATCTTGACATGGTTACAATCGCCCAGACCAAATGGAAACCCGATTTTAGTGTTATATATAAAAATACTCTTTTATTTATAATATCATTTATTAATAAGAAACAATTTGAAGGTGGCTTTTCAGTGCGTTAATATCTTATCAGTTCCAAATTCTTATTTAATAATTAACACTATTACTATAACGCTTGGGAATCTCCATTTGACGAGTAAAAATGAAAATGGGGGGGCGGGGGGTCAAAGAAAAATATTCTAATATGCAGGGGGGTCACCATTAAATTTCTGCTCTTTTAAGGGGGGGGTTCAATTTTAAAAATTTAGGAAAGAAAAAATTCCCCTCCCCCCTTCCATAAATAATGACCGGTCCCTAATTCAACGATCCAAATTTCGGATTTTCAGAGTCGTGCACCAAGAAAAATGCATTAACTAAACTAGCAGGAATGTCCAGAGTTAGACACAATGCAAAATCCATAGAAAACAGGTACAATTTGTTGAACATTTTAATGAAATTGTTTGAAACATTTCTAACGGCCGCCATTTTGAAAACTGAGCCTGCGGTGTTTTCCAACTGTAACGGCAGTAATATATCAATTTAGTTTTTGGCAGTTATCTGAAAATGAAAGTTGGCAATAGATAAACACTAGTTGAATAGATTAAACTGTTGACTAAATCAATGTACCGTGGTTCCGTATTTTAATATTTTATATACTATCTTCAGCTGATTTATAATTAAGAAATTAGAGTGTAATTTTAGAATTAGTCAATTAAAATTAGTTCACATCATATATTAACAAAACTGATCAGAGATTCATCTTAAATGACTCTTTCAGAAGCTGTTGCAGTTGACAAAAGCAAAGCGAAAGTGAATTCTTCACCCCATCAACTCTGAAGCTATGCATGGATTATCTTTGTTTCTGAATTGAAGCTCGCTTCTGAAGGTGCGTTCCTTAATTTAAATGTCTCCCAGTATATTCAGATCTATGAATATTTACAGGAATTTTATCGTATATACTGTATGATTGATAAAAACAAGTGTAGATCTATAAAATAGCTTGTATAAAAATGATAGGAATGTTGACCAATTGTTGTGATATGAATACAACTCATCCACCTGCAATGCGCCATAATGTGCTCTAACATTAATCCCAATTTACTCAGCAACAAGAATTGGAAATTAATAGTGAACTGCAATTAACCACACCATCTGACCACTCACATTACACTGTCACTTGCTTTGATGCTTTTCTACAAAACATTAAATTACAAAGGCCACTGTATGATTTCTACGTTTGGAGATGACGAATTTGTTCAATTTTCTAGCATAAAAACACAATGGCTTCGCGATATCCCCTTGGTGGAATCGACGAATCTCGATTTGAAACGCCAGTCAGCGACGAACTGAAATGTTGCATATGCTGCAAAGTGTTGAACAACCCAAAAGGATGTCCCAATAAACATTTCTTCTGTCACAATTGTATCATCAGACATCTGCAAAACGTTGACTTCTGTCCTGTTTGTCGAGAAACACTAACACCAGACACACTGCAAGACCCACCCAGTGCCTTGACTCGTTCATTATCACAATTGCGCATTCATTGTGATTATCCAAGACGAGGGCGAGGGCTAAGATGCAAAGTCGTTGTTTCACTTGGTGATCTTCAAACCCATGTTGATGCAGAATGCGAGTTCAACCCAGCCGCACCAACTTACAAGCGCCCTCTTGTTCGCCCCAGACCACCGGTACTCTGTAGTCCCCGGCTTACATTATTCTCTTCTACGAAGCCAGAAGACGTGGTTTCATGGCACAGTTTAGACGCAGAACCATTGCTAAAACATGACCAAGTAGCACCGGAAGCTCCAGGAAAACCATCCCAGGCCCCCAGTCGGCTCATGGAAAAACACGATTTCATTGTCCTAGGCGGGCGCGGTCAAGACTGGCAAAGTCTCAAGTCTGTAGAAAGGTTCATCTTTCGTGAAGGGAGATGGATTGAGTTGCCACCAATGAACACTCCTCGTTCTTTCGCGGCATCGGTTCTCGTTGGTAATCAAATTGTTGTCAGTGGTGGTGATATTGGTGATACTATCACCGACAGCATTGAGATCTTGAATCTTGATGAAACCCCTCTACAATGGATTACATCCCAAGCGAAGCTGCCATTCCCGTTGTCTGCTCATCAGACAGTTGCTTATCAGGGAAAGTTGATCGTCATCGGTGGGTACAATCACAGACACAGAAACATTTCTACTACGATTTCTGAAGTTCTTCTTACTCCGCCTTATTCCACCGACATGTTGTGGTTCCTGCCGCAGAGAAGAGCATGGCATGGTGCAGAGTTGGTGAACGACAAAATATTCATTTTTGGAGGAGGAAGTACTCCCATCACCCCCCGAGACGACGTTTTTGTTTACGATCCTCGTGCGAATAGATGCAGTGCAATGCCAGCTTTACCTTACCCAGTGCAGGGCATGGCGACGGTTCGTTGGGGAAACAAAGTATTGTTGCTAGGAGGTATGAATGAGAGAGAGGAAGAGTTAGATGACGTCATTTCGTACGACACCGAGTCAGGAGAGACGACGAGATTGCCAGCGATGAAGCAGAAGCGAGGTGGTTGCTGCGCGGTCAACACTCCCACTGTCGACACAAGCAGTACTTGCTCGTCTGACACGAGCACTGATACCCTGGTCGCGTTAGCAAGTTTACGAAACCTCAACACAGTTGAAAGATACGATTTCCACAGCCACGCATGGCAAGATATGCCTCCCACGAGAGAAGCCCGAGAATTCTGCACAGCGGTCGTTTCTCCAGTAAATTTCGAGTTAGAACAATGAAAATAATTATTCCTAAGAACAATGAGATGAGATGAAAGATAGCATTCGTTCTTCTCAAAATCACGAACAAAAATTACACAGGATCTGCTCAACACAGACTGTAATACATTTGTAATATTACACAGGGATATAGAATTTTTACAAACTTAAGAACTTTTAACTTTCAGAACTTTTAACACTAAAGATTTAAATACTGACATTTAAACCTTTTATAGTACCATAGTACCAATGTCTCTAGACATTATAGAATAGTTTTTTTGTAATTGCTATACTTGTACTTTTTTGCATTAAAAAGCGTTCTGCTTGTTAAGATGATATGTTTAGTTACTGTTTGTTTGACAGAGCAGTTCTGCTCTGAATAATAAATACGTGTACTTCCAGTATAAATTTAGTTCAGGTTTCCTTCTGTAGTAACACTGGATCAATAAGAGATAATCCTTCCTGGGCCTCCAGGAAGAACAGTTTAGAACTGATATACCTATCCAGTATCAATAAAGTTAGTTTAATTCAGGTTTCCTCCTGTAGTAACACTGGATCAATAAGAGATAATCCTTCCTGGACCTCTAGGAAGAACAGTTTAGAACTGATAGAGCTATCCAGTATAAATAAAGTTAGTTTAGTTTAGGTTTCCTCCTGTAGTAACACTGGATCAATAAGAGATAATCCTTACTGGACCTCTAGGAAGAACAGTTTAGAACTGATAGAGTTATCCCGTATAAATAAAGTTAGTTTAATTCAGGTTTCCTCCTGTAGTAACACTGGATCAATAAGAAATTATCCTTCCTGGACCTCTAAGAAGAACAGTTTAGAACTGATTGAGACTGAAATCCAATTGAAACTGGTTAATCGAAACACCGACAAAACTGAAAAACAGATATAATCTAAAGTACAATCTAACCATATACATAACGATTAAAATTTGCCAAATAATTTATATACACGGTTCACGTAAATGCCAAAATCCTGAATTAGTATATAGCTATTTCATTTAAGATTGTCCCCCGAGCAAAGCGGAAAAGTCGAATACGAGCGCGAAAGGCTGCTGGGAATCGCTAATAAATTCATTAATTTGTTAGCGATTCCCAGCAGCCTTTCGCGCTCGTATTCGACTTTTCCGCTTTGCTCGGGGACAACCTTAATTGAAATAGCTGTATACACAAAAGTATTCGTAAATATTGCAATGAAAGTGAGTAACATTATATCTATAATATTTTGTCCAAAATTCCAATCCAAAAGCATTAATTCAGGAGAAATGAGTGTATATAACATCCCCAATAAATATTGACCATTTTCTAGCCTTGCGCTCATATGGCGGTGATACAATGTTACAACCTCGATAATTGAGGGGACATATTCATATATTCGTGTTCTGCATTATTAATTTCTTTGAAATTGATTGTTTTTAAGGTCTGTGAATACGAATATATGAATATGGTCCCCCTCAATTATCGAGCTGGCTACGCCAACTGTACAACCGCAATCAAGATAAAGCTAAATTTACTTGCAAACCTAGCCTGTTCATTCACTTTATTTGCTATCGAATACAAGACTGCTACATATATAATTACTCCTCTGATAACTGCAGGCTGACCAGCATCTCTGCACGACTGAGTGCTTTGTGAAATCCACATGAACAGTTACTCTGACCTTGTATTGGCATGAGAATCATTGACATTGTTCATAATCACTCCACCACGTCCAGCAAGGGAGGTGGTTCCCATGAGATCCAGATCAATCTGTCTGGCAGCTTGTCTACCCTCAGCTATGGCTGTTACGACAAGAGATTGACCAAATCTACAGTCTGAAAATGAGAATAAGTAGTGAGCAGCAATTCAGAGCTATACAAAACTCTTTGACAGATTGCCCCTAACCTCTGAGATAAACCTGCTACTGTTTGCTACTGTAGGTCCAGTACAGGGATTTACTCCATGCATAAGTGGGCTAAAACACTTGTCTAATATTCGAATATTATGCGTATGAACGTAGTAATTGACTACAGAATTAAGATATGTCATGGGAATGCAGGACATTAGGCAATTTGCGGTGTGCGTGCGGGTCTTGCTGGACCAAAATTTAAATGCGTCTGAAAGTGAGGGATATTCAGGGAAATATTATCAGAAGTGCTATTTCATCGCTGGTAGGAATATTTTGAATGTCGAATTTCCCGAGCAAAAAATCTCGTCACAAGGTACAAATACTGTACTCTTATTGGATAGAGTCTCGTCACATGGTATAAATACTGTACTCTTATTGGATAGAATCTCGTCACATGGTACAAATACTGTACTGTTATTGGATAGTGTGAAGAATCACATGACCTACCTCCAGCAGCGTATACGTTCTCTAGGTTGGTGTTGAAACTTTTCCTTTCTGTCGAGAAATTTGATCTCATGTCCTAATATGAAAATAATTATAAAACATTGAAACCACCTCATTCCAAACACTTTTGAGTCTCCAACATCATGTTTGTTTCAATGAAAAACACTTCTGAAGTTTGCTGGAATTTCAAGCCAATTGCCGCATCAAATTCTTCACATAATTAATTTATGTATATGTATGTATGATTTTCACGTGACACGCTCTTGTCCAATGAGATGCAAGAACTTTGACACTGTGGCTATACTGCACAGGATAGGTTTCCGTAGCGACGTGAAAAAACATCTATCCGTACCTTTTAGGAACGCTATTTTCAGAATAATTATTGCAACGGAGAGATGTTGTTTCGCTCAGCTTCTGAAAGTTGTACACTCCGTATCGGATAGGTACTTTTTCGCGCCGCTACGTAAAGCTATCTGGTATAGTGGAAATGTAGCCTATATTAATATGAATCATTGCGCAACTGACGTGTTAATATACTGGCTTCCTGCATAATAACATACTAGAATCAATTCATCTAACCTCCGTTTAAACCGTCCAACGCGATGCTTGACTTTTCTAAACTGCTCTTGATAAATAAAACTGATCACAAGCAATCTATAATCTACCAAACAAACAAACAAACAAACAAACAAACAAACAAACAAACAAACAAACAAACAAACACACACACACACACACACACACACAAACAAACTAACTTACTAACCACCTGCCAACAAATCAAACAATAGTCATTTCCTCAACAATATACAATGTGATAAAAAAAGACTTTTGCCAAGCGGTTATACAAGTGAACAGATTATGACCTAAACATCTGGAAGAATGTCTTACCATTTTGAGAGCAAGTTCTTTCGCCAATGTTTTGCTCGGTCCAGTAAAGCCGAGCGCAATAAGAACAAGATCTGCTTTGTAAATATATTCAGAATCAGGAATCTCCACCATCGCCCATCTGCCCGACACATCCTACATAAAAAAGTTGGGCATACTTAGGTATGTGTAAAAAATCTTTTCGGCTGATTGCACATAGCCTTGGTTTTTGAATGGAAACATTTTTTTCTTTTCAATGTTCCCCCATTACCTGAAGTAAAACCAAACGTAAATTTAAATATAAAACTTAGTACTTCAAAAAATCAGGTGTAAAGATATCTTGAAAAAGTGCTCTATCGAGTCGTAAAGCGGGTAGTTTAAAAATTGGAAACAGCCCAACAGCTTATATAAATGCAGACGAGTTAGTTTTTGACAGATCTGACAAATTTTATCGTGAAAGTGGAGACTTTTGTGTAATCCGTCCGTGTACATTCAATGTCAACCAAAGTTTAGTAAATACGCGCGTATACATAGGCTAATACAGACCAAGCTAATGACTCGCCAAAACTATACCTGTCCTCTCCCTCTGAAGAAGACCCAGCGCCGGCCCTGGTAATAATGTGATGACAATTCCTACCTTCGCCCAATCCACTTTAACTGTTCTTATTCCAGTAATGTTCCCTTGATCATCACCAAGAAATTCCTTAAATAAAATTAAAATAAAATTGTCAATTAAAATGATTATAATTAAAATAAAATTGTCAATTAAAATGATTATAACATGAATGGACACAAAAGCTAAACCTTTGGGTCAAGAGACTTTGAACCATATTATGACTTGGAAATTTTCATGTTATGAAACTGCTTAGCAGTATGCAAACGATTCAATTATATTCTATTACGCTATCCATTATCCAATACGATAAAACTAAATGGTCCAAGTGGTATTTAAGTCGTACATACCTTACTCAGTGTGTTATATTGTCGTGGATCTTTACCGTATTTAATTGCAACCTAAAAAACAACAACAGTTCAATTACCATAATATATCTTGAATCGCTGAATCATTCAAAATCATTCATTGAATCATTCATTCTGAATGATTCTGAATCGTTCATTGAATCATTCATTCTGAGGACCAGAAAGAGTCATCTCACATCGATCCAGTGTTACTGCAGGAGGAAACCAAACTTTATTTATACTAACTTTATACTAACTTTATTTATACTGGATAGCTCTATCAGTTCTAAACTGTTCTTCCTAGAGGTCCAGTAAGGATCATCTCTTATAGGTTCAGTGTTACTATAGGAGGAAACCTAAACTAAACTAACTTTATTTATACTGGATAGCTCTATCAGTTCTAAACTGTTCTTCCTAGAGGTCCAGTAAGGATCATCTCTTATTGATCCAGTGTTACTACAGGAGGAAATCCAAACTAAACTAACTTTATTTATACTGAATAGCTCTATCATTTCTAAACTGTTCTTCCTAGAGGTCCATAATAATCTTATGTCAAAATAAAGACAGATATAACACTGTACCTCCTCATGACCATATTCAATCCTGAACACACGTGGCCACTGAGGCCAGGGGTTTACGTCAGTTCTATTCTTAGGTGGTTCATTAAGCAATTCAAATGTCGTAATCTTTCTTGCATTCTGAAAAACATTTGGAAACAAATCAGTAACATGGTCTGAACATCGAAGGAATTCTTGTTCACCATGGTAAGACAATAAGCAGAAACCCAGCGAGAGAAAAGCATTTATGTAAAACACCCTTTCGATAATTACGTCACACATACTTTTTGGTCTTGGAGCCTCGCCCTCATTAGTAAATTACGCAAGGTGATTGGCTCACGATTCATGAGAGCGAGGCTACCAGGTCAAATGACGTAATTGTCGAAAGGGTGTATTGCAGGTAATGCTGACGTGATCTTGAAGTGGGGCTTGTATGGCTCAGTCATCAAAGCAAGCGCCTCTGAGTTCGTAGGTTTGATTCTCGCTACGGACTCATGTGAAAAGAGTCAGTCAACGCTCTGCCGAAACTCGTGGGTTTTCTCCGGGTGCTCCGCTTCCCTCCCACAGGGAAAGTTGACAGGGTGCGTTAGTGCTTTTGCATGCACTATCCAGTTTTAATACTGAGATGAGTGAGTTTTCAAGCTGTACCTGTCTAACACACGTCGCCACACAGTCCACCCCTGTATCACCTCCACCAATCACGATCACGTTCTTATCACGTGCATCAGTGACGTCATCATCAAGATATCCTGGCGGGGAAATAGAGGATAAATGTGTTACACAGACACGCAACCGGAGGTAGAATTTGAATCAACCGTTAACAACGATATTTTGAAAGTCCTTACCCAGTTGCTTCTTTTGATTTTTCTCGAGAAAATCCATAGCAAATTGAACCCCTTGAAGTTCACGACCTGAACAATAAAATCAATTTTGAAATTGTTTTGTTTGTGTGGAGACAACCATACCTGTATATTTACTTGTTTTCGAGCAACCAAAAATAATTTGCAGTTCGCCTTGTCAGCGAAGCAAGCAGCCGGAGCGACGTAGCTTGTGAGACGGGGGACTGGGGGAAACGTTTTGAGCAATTGAGCCTGAGTCAATTTTGGCAATAGGAAACATAACTCAAAAGCTGGACGGATTGAGATTTGATCAATAAAATTTGGCCACAGAACAGGAAAATAGTCAAACCAC